GGATTTCGCCCGGCGCGTAGCACCGGCAGTAATCTGCTTCATCTAATGTCAGAAGTGGTACCAGCAGTGGATTCGGGAGCACAGGTGGATGTCGCATACCTTGACTTCCGTAAGGCATTTGACACGGTCGACAATGATATCTTGCTCATGAAACTGGCGCAGGCGGGTTGTACGCCGAAAACATTGTCATTTTTCGCCAGTTACATGAGAAACAAGAGCCAATTTGTAGACTGGTCAACTGTCAGAACCATACCTTACCAGGTCAGGAGTGAGTCAAGGTAGTAATTTAGGCCCCCCGAAATTTTTCCTAATGATTAATGATTTACCCGATTTTGTATGGCAATCAACATGTCTTCTATTTGCGGATGACCTAAAATTGGTGTCAGTAGTTAAGGACTCAGCTGACTGTGGCAAACTACAGGCAGATATTGACAGAGTAGTACAATGGAGTCATAGGAATAAGTTATTTTTTAACACTTCCAAATGCTCAGTCATGTCGTTCACATATTCACGCCAGCCTCAACATACAAATATAATTTATACGGAGTAGTCTTGCAGCGGGTAACAGAGGTAAAAGACCTTGGTGTTCACTTTACTTCAAAACTCAATTTTAGGGACCACATTCATAAGATTTGCAAGAAGGCGTATAGAAATTTGAGATTTGTGTTGCGTCAGTCGCGGGAATTTACAAATCTCGGTGCGCTCCGGGCCTTGTATGAAGCACTAGAGAAAAGTCACCTAGAGTGTAATGGCTTTATATGGAGCCCGCACGAAGCTAAGTACAAATTAATGGTGGAACGGATACAAAATAAATTTATTCGATTTCTTTATTTAAAATTATATGGAGTGTATCCGTTCTGCCCATTAATGTACCCAACATTATTTGTTCTAGGGATGGTGGGGTATAACAAACTGGAGGTTAGGAGGGACTTAAGTTTGGCAACATATATGTTTAAATTGCTGCGTGGAAAAGTGTATAACGAGGCGATATTGCGAACGGCTAAGTTGTGTGTGCCGGACAGGTACGTGTGGCGCCGGAAGCGGCCGCCGCTGTTCGCGGTACCGCGCGCACGCACCAACCTTCTAAAGGAGGCCCCACTGACCCGAGTGCTGCACACTCTAAATAAAGTAGCACAGGGTATAGATTTATTCTGCTTTTCCTTGGGTGTATTCACAAAAGTGACATTATATGTATTGTGTTATAATAGTTGATAAGTTGTGTTCTGTACTTATTAAATTAGATAGTTTTATGTGCCTACACTGTCGTATTAGGAATGTCTGTAAAGGCAGAGGTAGAAATAAATAAATAAATGTTCCAAAAATTTTACGTACATGGCGATAGGCTTTTGGTGAGTAATAGTTAAGTGTTAGTGCAAAGTATTTCTTGCAAACTTGTGAAGCCTGTTTATGCTATTGTTCTTTTATGTCAAGGCATTTTTTCAGTTTAATTTTCCTTGGCCTAAGTGTTGGCTCGTACTCGCAGTGGGAGTAGGACTAGTTCGGGTTATATAAAGAAATTTTTTCGAATTGTGACTTTCGAGACAACTAATGGAATTTTTCCAGAACATCCAGCTTTCTTTTTTCAATCTAGACGATATTGTGCAATTACCACCTAAAATAAATAATTTACTAATTTACTTACGTAAGTCAGAAGATTCAAGATATAAATATTAAGTATATGAATTAAATTTGATAAATTAATGCTTTTGTAAACTTAATAAAATATTTTCAAGTAATTGATTATACTATATTGGTGTCAAAAGTAATAATAAAAATATTTAATCTAAATGTAATTACAGCCAAACATTACCTACCACAAGTTCATGGTTGGCACTGCAGTGTCAGCTAACCTTCTTTTATTGCTTGTGGTATGACATATGATTTTTCAAAATGTTCGGAGCAAATGGTGCTAGTCCGTTTAGGTATCCAAAATTCATGGTATCTACAAGCTACAATCCAAGTTCGCCCCCTAAAAGGATCTTTTGGAAATCTGTAAAAACAAACCAATAATAGAAAAAATTACTACTTTTTGTAATACTTTATTGTAAAAGCTAAATAAAAACTACAAGCCGGTTCGGCATCCAAACCTGCATGGTTAATTGACTTATCGATAGCTAAAGTTGTGGCGTGCATCACTATAGTGCAATACTTTCGGTTGCAGTGATACCAGTTTATTTTTATAAAAATTGCACACTTTTGCTGCGAAGTAGCAAGTTTCGATTTGACTTATTTGGCCTTTATTTTGTATAATATTTTGATAAATACTAGTTATCGATTATATTAAATTATATAATATTCAGTATCGTGTTGAAATAGTGCTGAATATATAAATCATTTTACACAATCCACTACACATCTATATGTGGTGATTATTAAATTCATCACAAACTGATTTAGTTATTAGGAAATATATTTTCGTTAATATATTTAACTTGTGTAGTAAATTATATTTATTTAAAATTAGATTTTCTTTCACTTTATGAACTATGATGACCACACTTGGTATTGGACGAAAATATTCACAAAGTATGAGTTTTAATGATAAAATTACTTTAATATTATGTTAAAAATACTCACAGATGAAAAGTCACATTGTCCTTTTGTATACTTGACGTTTTTGATTGTTTTTTTTTTTCATGTAAATACACTGCAATTCGGCATTTTGTCGGAGCTCAATTTACTGGCACGATCACTTCGGAATGACGCACGACGCGGAGCAACTAGTTTTATATAACGGGTATGAGTCGAACTCTCATACCTTTTACAGAGGTGTATGCCTTGCGATGCCGTCTCCATTGGTTTAATACTCAAAGACAGTAAATGATTTGTTAGAATTACTTTAAAAATATCGATTCAATAAATATATATACTTTTTTACTTGTCCATCCCTATGACTCAGTAAGCGTAAAATCAGGGTAGTGTAATAACTAACGTCCCTAACTGGGGGCTACGCCCACCCTTCATTCAGGGCCCTGATTCAGTGTGGTGTAATAGGGGCATAAATTGAGTCAATATACTTGTATGTGTGCCAAGATACGTTCCCTACTCGTTTTTCAGGTATACAAAAGTACTCTAAAAGTACTTTGTGCACAAACTAATAAGAGTACTAACGTGACTCTGTGCTCGCGAGTCACAGGAGTTATGGCGCGAACTTGGCCGTAGACGGATTGTCGCTCCTGTTTTGTAGCTTGAATAATGGTTTGAAGTGAATTTTGAATTAAGTGTCCGCGCGTGTGAACTATTAGTGAAAACGACGAAACAAGTGCTTTGATGTCGATTTAAACCTCAAGTTATTTTGATCGCTTGGGCGCCTTATGAATTTGACTGGATGTTGTCATCAACTGTCCGCTGGGTTAAGCTATCGTCAAAATCTCCCAAGGGCTTCGCAATGTGACGCATCAGCATATTGTGAAGAAAAAATATTAAAATGAAGATTCAGAAAGAAATGATAGGCTCAGAAGGGCTAGAACCCAGAGCCGTAAAGCCAGCTATTAAAAAAAGTTAGCGAATCACAAGGTCAAAAATCAAGAAATGTCATTTTGACATAGACGTTAAACATCTGAACCTGGAATGTTAGAAAATATTTTGAAACATATTTTATTTTGTAGGCATTTGTCACCTCGTAATAAGTTACGCTGATTCATGTCGACTAATAAATATTACACACAAGTACTCAAAACATCCATTACGAGATAATGTTATTTTGTCCGACGTGCGCTAACATTCTTATGGTAGAAGAACGGCCGGAATCAGGATTACGTTACGCATGTAACACGTGCCCTTATGTTTATAATATAAGAAAAAAAGTATCTTCTAAGTCATTTCCTAAATTAAAGGTATCGTATCTAAAATATTATATGCACATTGGATTAACTGTATTATATACTACGCTGTCAGTTTATAATAAATCTATGGTACTATGTACGTATTTATAAAGTACTTACTTTGAGAGCCGCCGATCCATTCATGCTACAACTATTAAAGCTGCAGGATGGCTTTACGTTGTTGTACTTCATGTATAAAGCTTCAGAAGCTAATGTATATTTTTATTATATATACGAGTGTATTTTATGGTTAAGAAACTAATCTTCTAGGTCGTTTCCTAAATTAAAGGTATTGTACCTTAAACATTATAGTTACTTGGATTAATTGTATTATATACTACGCTGTCAGTTTATAATAAATCAATGGTACTACATATTTATAAAGTACTTGCTTCTTACATTACTTATATCAAGCATTTTGCTTGCATTTCTAAGTTAGCTTAAATAAAATTGTGTACTGTGCAATCTGGTGTTCCTAATTTATTATAAGTTTTTTGTTAGTCGCGTTTCAATAACTATTTCACTTTTCAAGTTGTATTACTTGTATGCAGATAGAAGAATGTAGAAAATATCTGTTTTATTTCTTTCATTCTAACTATATTATTACATATATGTATTTTTTTTTATTGTTATTTAACCGAAGTGATAGATGATCTTGCTGTCCACCTGATATTAAGCAACTATTGTAGCTCATGAACAAATGAATTTCAAACAAAATACGCATGCAATGTGACAAAAATGCAGTGTCACCTCCAGAACTAAACTGGAATGCCACACAGTCTGTAATTACTCTCTTTACTAAATAGATGTAAGGGTTTCACCTACCCAGATAGAATCATAGGCTGAAATATAATCCTGCCACCTAAAAGTAATATCTGAAATGTTAATATTTTCAGGAGCTTGACTATATTATGGGAGGAGCTGCTGCCTGGGAAAACGTGGATTCTACAGATGCAGTTTGCCCTAAATGTGGTCACGGTAGAGCTTACTTTATGCAGCTTCAAACTCGTTCTGCTGATGAACCTATGACAACTTTCTATCGTTGCTGTAATCACGAATGTGCTCATAACTGGCGAGATTAAACAAGAGAAAGCGTTGAACTTAGTTAAGAGTATGATTTTATTAAAAAGTTTTCTTAATAGTTTTTTGGCCAGAAATAAAAGTATATTATCAAAAATGAAGGTTGATAAAATGGCTGAAGTATTTAAATGTGAAGATAAAGCTTATGCTGCAGCTGCAAGGTTCCTAGCAGGAGGGCATGTAATTGCTGTACCGACAGACACTATTTATGGGCTGGCCTGTAGTGCTAACTGTCCACAGGCAATCAAAAAATTATATGCAATTAAAGGAAGAGATTCAGCTAAACCTGTGGCTATTTGCGTTACCTACATTGAAGATGTACGTAAATGGGGAAAAGCGGAGCACTTAAGTGATGAATTGCTCTATAGCTTACTTCCGGGACCTGTGACAGTTGTATTAGAGAAATCAAGGTACTTGGATAATCCTTACCTAAATCCAAAAACAACAAAAATTGGTATTCGTATACCCAGATGTTTGTTTATGAACAAAGTTACTAAAATATTTGACAAACCCGTTGCCTTGACTAGTGCTAACTTCAGTAATGAGCCTTCCACATTGTCAGTAAAAGAGTTTGAACATTTATATAGTCATTTAGGTGCTGTATTTGATGGTGGAGTGTTAAGTGAAGGCTTAGAGCAGAATAGAACGGGTTCTACAGTCATAGATTTGTCAAATAGTGGCACATATAAAGTAATAAGAAAAGGTGTATCATTTGAGAAGATTGTTGCGACTCTAGAAAGTCATGGATTGAGCAGCATATTATATGATTAGTGACAAACAAAAAACAGACAAACCGTTAAGTCTCTTATCACTTTAAGGCGACACTGCGAAAAAATGCACCTCCATTCATCGAATAGTATAGACTATGACACCACTAATGAAAGTGGAATTTTGATGTAGGTAAATTCATGTCTTTTTCTTAAATTTACTCTGTCAATAACATGATTATATAATTTTGACTAAATCACAATTATTTGCGAAATCACCTCTTTAAAAGTCACTATGGTTGAAATTACAACGAAATTACTTAATCTATATACTTGAGAATCACTCAAATATATTCATAACATAATTTAATTGCTTATTATTTTGATTACTTAAATCAACCATTCTTAAAAAATATTTTAAGATTCTGACAATTTCTAAGCCGACGTGTTTGTAATCGACGCGGGCGCTACGCAATATTAGACCTTATCACGGTGTTTTTTAAGTTTTCGTAGAAATTATGTATTCACTCTGATCAGTATGGCGATAGCTCAGAGCCACTTTTTCGATGTGTCGTCTTAACTGAAAGTAACTGACACCATGAGACTTAACGACATCTTGAATTTTAGTAACATTTGAGTTTTGACTATAACTTTATCAATTGTTATTCATATTTAATACAATATTAAAATTAAGCTATTTGAAAATTCATATTTTGTAGTTTTCATACGTATTTTATTCCTGCTTAATCTACTATATTATTACTTGAGATGAAACGGATATCTCGTAACAATCCGGTATTTGGCCTAAAACTACTATCCGTCCGGATAACAAACAGCTATCTGGCCGGATACTGGATAACGAACAGCTATCCGGCCGGATACCGGATAACAAACAGCTATCCGAAATTTTCATTTTATAATTTACAAAGTTAGTACTCTTACTACACTAAGGCACAAAATAAATATTAGCACTACGTAGCTGTTTTCGTATTGTGTTGTAATTTGGGTATTGTGTAGCAATACCTGCCCACCAAATATTAGGGTCACTAACACTAACAGTTTGCATAATGATTTCTTATATTTACGCGAACACTACACATTGAAATAATACTAGTTTTTACGGAATTTATCGCGTATATTTAACTTTTTAATTACCCGACGTTTCGAGAGCTTTACAGCACCCATGGTCACGGGAAGGACTGAGATGTTCAACCTCCAGCTGTCATAGTTAACCGCGGTTACCATAGATTAAAATTTAACTTTTGTTCCGATCTACACAGTATGAACTTATGGTATCATGGAGTCTTGCAGTTGTATGCTTGGGTTGGGATTTAATTTTATTTATTATAGGATCCCAAGCAGATGGTAGCACCCAGCCATCTTCTCTATTGAAATTAGGATGTTTTTTGATTTCAATAGCCTCGCGAATCATCCTTGGAAGGAATCGGTGTTCTTTAGCGAGGATTTGTGGTCTATCAAATCTGTTGTAGTGACGGGGGCGATCCTGTACATGTTCACAGACTGCAGAATTCCCGGAGCGTCGATTCTTCACATCAGCTATATGTTCTTTGACGCGGGTTTTAATGGATCTTTTAGTTTGTCCTATGTAGGAGAGACCACATTCACAATCAAGCTTGTACACTCCTGCATCTTGCAGAGGGACGTTACACTTGACTGATGGTAAAAACTGACCAATCTTCTTCGGCGGCTTGAAGTATGTTTTGATGGAAGCGTGCTTCAAGATGTAGCCAATCTTGTCAGTGACTCCTCTAACATATGGCAGTACAGCAGGTACACGCTCGACTGTGGCCGGCTTCACTCGTTCTCTGTGACGTAGGCGCGGGACCCGAAGCTTGTTGTCATGCAAAACTTGCTTGACATGTTGGAGCTCGGCAGCCAGGTGTTTACTGTCACAGATCGCTCGTGCTCTCTGAAACAAAGATTTACCCACGTTAGCTAACTGTGAAGGATGGTGGTGAGAATCACCGTTTAAATATCTATCTGTATGGGTCTTTTTTCTATACACAGTATGGCTCAAGGTGTTATCAGGATTCCGAATTACTAACACATCTAGAAAAGCTAAGGAATTGTTTGCCTCTAACTCCATTGTGAACTGAATTTTAGAATTTATAGAGTTAAGATGGTCTAAAAATGCAGTTACTTTATCTAAAGGTAGAATTGTGAAAGTGTCGTCTACGTACCGCTTGTAGAAACTTGGATTTATGGGAGAAGTAAGCAGGGCTTTCTCCTCAGTCTTCCATGAATATGTCGGCGACTATGGGAGATACACTATTTCATTCACTAACAGTTTGCACTGACTTTACTTTTCGCTCCTTGCGATGCACCAAACAGCAATGTTCGGCAGAATATCCAGCGGCCGGATATCCGGCGATAATACTGGACGAATATCCAGTATCCGGCAAAACAGCTATCCGTGTCATCTCTATTTATTACACAAAATGTTACCGGTTGTTATTTGTGCTATCTTTAATCAGATATTACATATGTATATTTTTTTAATGAAATTTAAATGACAAACGAACTTAGTTCACCTAATGATAATGGCTACTGCAGCCCATGAACACCTGCAACCAACGTCAAATAAAGAAGACTAAAGGTGCATTGCCACCTCCAAGGACTAAATCTCAATAATTAAATATATCTACTTTGTTTATTGTATTTGGTTATTTAATTTGTCGCCTCAAGAGATGCGCACTTTAGATCATACAATACCTACCTTCCGCTCCAAAAGAGCACTAATTAGATCAGAATTACTGCCCTATGAAAACTTTTTTTTAAACAAAACCAAAGACACTATGCAATAGATAATAGTATTAAAGACAAAGATATGCTCTTTTATTTTAAACCATAACCTGGCAATGTTTCTTAGAAAAAAAAAAAAGAAATCACTCTGAACTTTCGGCGTTCCACGTGTCGCTTTGATGAAGGTGCTCCGTCTTTTTTATAGAATTTTATATTTGTGTCTGGACTAAAAACGAAAGTATTATACCTTTTTATATTCCTTGTAATATAGTAAACACGTAGATATATAATTTGTGGTATAAAAAAGTGAAAAGTAAATTGCCAAAAGTACTTCAAAATCCGGAAGGCCCGTTTTGGCGATTGGGTCATAAATGTGTTATTTTTCAAATTCTCATTTATTTTTAGTGTAAAATGTAAGTAAAAATAGTTTTCTTTCATATTTCAAATAACTTGAAATTGTATTTATATCAAATTCACACAAAAATATTTTTGAAATATAGTTCGAAATGTCATACAGATAAAATATTATTATTTTTTTTTTATTTTTTAATATTTTGGTATGAGTAACGAATAGAAACACATAAAACATAACAATATACATATTTCCAAACATTTTCATATAAATTTCTCCAAAAACAAAAGTGTAGAATTCAAATTAGTAATAATTTTGTCACTAAAATTGAAGTATATACTACTACTATGCTATAAAGGGTAATTTATGTATTTTATTACAATTTCTAGCAAGCAAAAATAATTTTATTCGATAGTTTATACATTCAACAAGAATTCCTGTAAGTTTTATCCATAAATATTGTCTCAAAGTGAAAATATAGCAAAATTTTCAATATAGCAAAAAATTTTCTAACTTACAAATTTTCCCGCCATTAAGGTCCCAAGGGAACGGGTGTATAACATGTCGCGCGCTGTCAGAGCGTACAGGTTAAGGCACTTTTCACCACACCATTTTGTTGACTGACATTAATTCTGCCCTTTGTACATAACCTCTTTATGGTTAAAAATGCAATTAAGATTTTAAATAAAAAAAGCAAAAGAGCTCCTTCAATATTACATGCACATATAATATAAGCATTTTATATGATTGTAGATTGTATATGTTGAACATATTAGTCTAAAAAATATCCTATTTAACAATGTTTTTGTCTTTATATACTTAACAACAATTGGTAAAAACAAGTTCTGAGTTACATACATTAAAAAAAACAACATTCAAATTGAGAACCTCCTCCTTTTTTGGAAGTTAGTTGAAAAACAATATTTCAGTGTGGCAAATGCCGCCAACTGCCCTGATGGAAATTTATCACACCCATACCACCCTGGGTGGGAGGGGGGGCACGTTGGTATACATAGTTGATTAATATTTTTCTTATTTGTAATAATGCTCATCTTAACTTGTTATGGCGAACATTATTACAGTCAAATTAATATTAAGAATTTTTGTCCATCTCTTTGGTGTCAATTATTAAGGTCATAGGAAGGTCTAAAAAGCTCTCATATGAAATCTGCTGTGGATTGGTATAGTGACACCCTATTTCTCACCACACCATTCTTCATAAGACTATTGTGGGACAGTAGCTTGACTTTGCAAGTATATTATTTATTGTTTGTGTCTAGTAGGCTTAATGATTAACACTAAAATGCAAATATTTTTAAAAATGTGCATTAATTTAAAATAAATATGAAGAATAATAGCAATCCATATGGAAAAAGAACAGTGTATACTTATTATAGGTTACAGGCACATTAGTCAAATCTAACAGGGAAAGAAAGGAGGATTACTTATTAGTATAGTTATTCTAATTACGATGAAGGTTTCGCCTTGATTGTAGTAGTGGCGTGTACCAATATGTGTGTTTGTGTGTGTAGCTGTAATTCGTTTGACTTCCAATAATGACACAGCTCTCCCAAGACCTACACACAGTAACACAATGTGTATGTGCACTGCTAACAACAACAAAAATCAAACCTTCATCGTGAAATAGAATACTTCTAATCAGAAAAAATAAAAAACAATTGCTTCACAATCCTTCTTTAGCAGAATTTAATTAGTCACTTGTGTTTTAACATTACTTGTATTATATTTTTCGTTGTATTGTTCACAAATGTTGTAAGACTAATTAAACATTTTTCTAAATGAGAATGAGAACATTTAAAAAGCTTACACTGACAATTATTTATTACTTAATAATAAAATTCATAAATAATTTATTCACATAGCTATACTTAGTGGTTTTCTACTTTCAGGTAGTTTAGCTTCAAGTTTTTGCCATCTGGCTGGTGGCCAGACAATACAAACTGCTTTAGCGTTGATTAATCCTAAAGAAACTGGCCCAAATGTGTTACTATCCAGAGTATGGCCAGTGTGGTCACCTTCCACCCAACAATGACCTTCAGGCACTTTAAGATATTTATTTTTGTAGCCCATCGTACTTACAACATCGCCTTGTAGTGCCACCACTCGTTTAATTATCTTCTGGTTTGGGTCTTTGGGAGAAGACAATGATATTACATCACCTCTTCTGATATTATAATCTCGAACAGCCCATCGTGATAGAAAGACGTAATCTGTGTCAGTGGATTCTGGATTTAAAGCTGGCTGCATAGAAATACCTTCGACTCTAGCCACATAGCCAATAGTGTCCAAAAATGTTAAACCAATAGGGACGCCAAATATTATAGATCTACATATACTTCTGAACGACATTAAATTAACTTCACAATTCTACTATAAATTTGAGCCACATTCTCATTTAACGAAATTTATTTCATTTTTTATTTAAACATGCTAAACTTTTTAAAGAGGAATATTTATTGAAATTTAAGACGTTAATCAGCAAATCTCTTTTCAGGTTTTGTGCCACAGACTAATAAATATTAATAAATAAGTTGATTTGACTTTTCAGTAGGCATTTCGATCTAAAATCGATTCTTTGGAGTAAAATTATCGATTTTTTAGATCGATTCGAAGCACCACATCGATTCACTGAATCGATCCAAAAACCTCTTGAATCGGGCTGATTCATTTGATTGAAGAACTAGCTAAAATTTCCAAACTGGCTGTGGTAAGATACCACAGTTTTTTAATTTTTTGATGTTGGGGGACGCAAAAACAACCGGTCGTACTTGGTTGATAATTTGAACGCAATATATATCCAAATATAGCGAAAAATTGTCATTTCATTTTCATTTGTAAAATTTTTAAGCCCACTTTCCACTGAGGGATATAATGTAATTTATATTACATCTCGAGATATAAATCACTCATCGTACTTTTAAATGGAACCGTTTCCACTGAGATGTAATATACATTACATCCCAAACTATAAATATTTTTCGATCGACCGAGCGATATTTTCGTATTATATTTCACCTCCTGTACTATAATATAATATAATATTATAGCTGTGAACTTGTGAATTTACATTATTTATTATCAAAAATATACATACTGTGAGCTGTAAGTACAGACAGAGTACTTTTAAATACCTAGGTACTGTAAATAATTATTATACCGTACGTTGAAGTTTATAGAGGTTTATAGTAAGGAAATAACCAGTATCAGTATTGTTTTCGTGTAGCATTCATTTCAATATGATAAATAGTGAGTTATTAGATTGAAACAGATTTATCGAGAAATAATGCAGTTTGCACTTTTGTTAAAGTATTGTTGTTGTTTTTAGCCTAAAATGTCAAATAAAAGAGTTACGTGGAATCACTTTGTAAAAAAAGGGATCGAGTGCAGTATGTGCGAACCACTCCTAACACAAGCGTTTCAAGCTTACCATAGTGGTTAAAACGAATATTAGTAATGTTAATCAATAAGATTACTAATATTTTATTTAAAAAAAATGTTGCAGTTTAGAAGTTAAAGAAAAAAATATAAAATTCTTGAAATTTCATGTTTGAAAATGTCACGATTAATCGAAAATCGATCTTTTAATCCTCGATTTAATTGATAATCGATTCAAGTACCTTCGATTCAAATCGATTCGGAGATCGATTTTTTAAGAGTGAATCGACATGCCTACTTTTCAGTTTATACAATTGTACTTTGTGGTTTGAAGTTTGATTTTTTTTAATTAACTGGCTTTAAGGCTCTGGGTTCTAGCCTTTCTGAGAATATCATTTCTTTCGGAATCTTCATTTTTATATTCTTTTTCTTCACAAATTGCTGATGCGTCACATTGCGAAGCCCTTGTGAGATTTTGATGACAGCTCAACCCAGCGGACAGATAATGACAACAGCCACTCAATTTCATAAGGCGCCCAAGCGATTCAAAATAACTTGAGGTTTATATTGACATCAAAGCACTTTTTTCGTCGTTTTCTCTAATAGTTCACACGCGCGGACCCTTAATTCACAAAACGGCATCATTTTTACGAATCAAAAGCCACTTTAAACCATTATTCAAACGACAGAACAGGAGCGCCAATGCGTCTACGGCCAACATCCCACCAAAACTTCTTTGAACTTTGAGCAGCGTTCCAAACATTTAGGTTAAAGAACAGGAGAACGATCGCCTTAGAAAATAGTGTCCCAGAAATATGGACACCACAAGTGAGGCGCTGCGATCGCTGAGTTCGCTCAATAAAAATCATTTTCAGTCTATTTTTCCGATCGGATGCTAAACCATTTGCACATCCACGCACAATAAACGTAACGTAAACGGTGTTGCATTCGTCACGAACAAGTTTATAAACACCCGATTTTTGACTAATATTTAACTTATCTTTATTATTGCAAATATTCCTAAGCGAATTGTTTGTTTTTAATGCCACGTTAATGCCGGTTTTTCTAAGAGTATTAGCTATTTTGTCCGATATGGAGCCTAAGTAGGTCAAACTACCCACATATCGACGGATACTTTGAGATCGAACCGCGTACAAAGGATTGCGAACAACATGCTTTTGTTTCTTTTTAATAAGGTTATTAATGAGATTTTTAGAAAAACCGTTAGAGACTGCAATTTGATAAATTATATTAAGTTATTTTAAATAATTTTCTTTACTTAATGGAACAGTGAACAGACGGTTAATGTAACAATAAAAAGCGGCTAATTTATGTTGCCACGGATGACACGTTGACGCGGGGATGATCGTGTCGGTATGAATTGGCTTTCGATAAATTTGAAAAACATGCAACGACTCTTTTCTTGTTATTGTTAAGTCAAGGAAATTAAGGGAGCAATCTTGTTCCAATTCAAGCTTAAATTAAATTTTTTCGTGGACTCTCTTTTATTAAGGAAAACGTCCATTTGTCTCCTTGTGCCAGTCCAGCAAATAATTATGTCGTCTACATATCGATAATAGTATAAGATATTTTGGTTAACAACTATATGTTGTTTTTCGAAATTATCCATGAAAATGTCCGCCATAAGTGGACTTAGAGGGGACCCCATAGCTAACCCTTCTTTTTGTAGATAGAAACGGTTATTAAACCGGAAATAATTTAGTTTCATACAGAGAGAGGTTTTAAGTTAAGAAAATCATTTGTTTCCCCAGGATGTAGACGACGTTTTTCAAAGAGATGTGAGAGTATACACAAACAGTCAGGGGATGGGACATTTGTGAAAAGACTATCAACGTCTAAAGATAGATTTAGGTGGAATAGGAATATCTTTAATTTTGGAAAGCAAATGAGATCTAAACTATTTTTAAAGCTGTAAGTTGGGTTGAAACCAGATTTCTCCCGAAGGAGGAAGTTTAATTTTTTAGCAAGAAAATAAGCTGGTGCACCTATATATGAGACAACTGGACGAATAGGAACATGTTCTTTATGTATTTTAGGTAACCCATATAAAGTGGGTGCTCGAGTATTCATTGGAACAAGGTTGCACCGAGACAAGTTGTGATCGGGAAAAACATATGACGACTTTTGTATATATACTAGGTTTCTCTGTCTACGACTAGATTGCTCGACATATTTATTTATCTACGATCTAGACACCTATATACACCTAATCATGCAGATCCGTCCCAGTTCTAACCCCGATCTCGCCTTAGACGACTTTGAAAATGCCGAATGCCTCGTGGACAGTTTAGAGAGCAAATGCACTCCTTCTAGCGAACCCATAGATCCCGCTCACCTTGCAGAGGTCGAAGCGGAGGTTGAGCGTAGGTATGCGCTACCACCTACACTTTATCTACCTTATATTCTGTGGCTGTTGACGAAGTCACAGAAACTATCAAAAACCTCAAAAAGAAATTAGCACCCGTCCTGACGGCATTAGCAACAGGGTAAAGAAATTTCTCTCAGCGCCACTTGTCTGCCTCCTAGTAGGCATTTTCACCGCCCTTCTCTCCAGCTGCTCCTTCCCTGACGTATGAAAGAAGCAAACGTCACAGGAATCCTGAAACCAGGGAAACCGCGCAACCTAGCTTCTAAGCTGTGTACGTGAGTGTGCTGAGGAGGCTAATGGGTCTGTACCCATTAGCCTCCTCAGCACACTGGGGAAGTTTACGAACGTTTAATATTAAATCGCCTCCGTAAACACGTCCTTATAAACAAGCTTCTTCCTGACGAATAGTTCGGTTTCAGACCCGAGTACTCGTGCACCAATCAGATCCACCGCCTTACGGAATACATCCTAGAAGGCTTCTCCCAATCAACGGGTAAAACCCTCTTCTTCGACATCGTCAAAGCGTTCGACAAAATCTGGCACGATGGCTTGCTCTACAAGCTGCTTAAACTTAACGTGCCTGATAGGCTCACCATTTCCATTTCCGCTTTTGTATAGAGGGAACTCTCTCCTCCAAGCGCCCTCTCAGGGCTGGAGTCCCTCAGGGCTCCGTAATCTCTTCACACTCTACACGAGTGACATCCCGAAGAACCCATATGTCAACACCGCTCTTCGCAGACGACACGGCAACCTGCGTCTCTAATTTCAGTAAGAAATATCTTACAACGATGCTCAAAAGAGACGCCAATCACCTAGGCGAATGGTTTCGCTTATGGAGAATTGAAGTGAACCCCGAAAAAAGTTTAGCAATATACTTTCAAAGAAACCCACCCTCAATTGTCAGAACCTAAAACCAAAAAATGTCCTAGGCACGATAACCCTATTCGGCTGCCAGATCCCGTGGCAACAAACCGCCAAATACTTAGGGGTCACATTCGACCACTCCATGGCCTTCTCGAAACACATTAGCGCCGTCCGAAATCGTGCAAAATTCGTCACTAGCCCAATCCACCCGCTAGTTAACAGTAAGAGCAAATTGTCCCTAAGACACAAGCTCCACCTCTACAAAGCTTGCGTAAGACCTATCATGTCCTACGCAAGCGAAGCCTTTGAACACGTAGCTCATATACGTTTGAACCACCGGAGCTCGGTGGTACAAGCGTAACGCTGATTTACACAGAGATTGTCAACTTCCAACGATCTCTGAATATTTAAAGGAAATGTTTCGACGCTACTTCGAAGGCGCTGAGACACATCCCAACCCGCTAGTGGTAAACGCAGCAATCTACGCGTCGACTCAAAACGTTAAGCAAAGCCTCCGGAGGCCACGCAACGTTTTGATTGAACTCCCAGTTCTGCTAGATTCTGACGACACAAATGTCGCCGGCCCGTCACACATTGACCCTACACAGTCACCTAGTGC